CCACCAGACTATAGCCGGCTGTTTGCAGGAGGCAGCAGCCTCCGCCGCGGGACCACCGGACTATAACCGGGTGTTCGCATGAGACAGCAGCCTCCGCCGCGGGACTGGCAGACTATAACCGGGTGTTTGCAGGAGGCAGCAGCCTCCGCCGCGGGACCACCGGACTATAACTGGCTGTTTGCATGAGGCAGCAGTCTCCGCCATGGGGCCAGCAGATTATGACCGGCCGCCGCCGGGCGCTCACATGGATGGGATCGCGTGCCCAGCGGCAAAAACAGGCGCCGCACGCCAGCCGGCGCAGTTCAAGCCGCCCTGTCCGGGGGTCGATCGAGAACCGGGCCACACGAGACGCCGCGGCAGGCCGGCCGGGCCGCTCAGCGCTCACCGGCGGCCGCGGTCCTCGAGCCAAATGACGAGCAATGGCCGGCAGCCAGGCATTCAAGCCCGGGCCATGAGAGAAGTACGCCGCTCAGTCACGAGCACACACAAAGAGGGAGGCAAAACAGCATAGCAACATAGCAACAACAAAGAGTTACAAAACAAGAACAGTGTAGTTGTCGGCATGCATTGTTGCAGCCATCGCAGTTTTCTGCTATGGGACGCAATCAGTGAAGTTTTGGCCAGAGCTCAATCAAAGTATTTGAAATATACTGGCACAACGGTCCTCAGGTAGTTCATGCTCTCAACAGTCGTGTGGCTGTCGTCGTCCGGTTGTCGTAATTCAGGGAACCAGTGAGCTCGAACTTTGCCGCAGAAAGCTTGCTGCTCCTTTGGAATGGGCGGGGGTCTATGGCCTGTCGGCCATATAGCGCTTTACCGAGGTTTGGTCACGCCATTTTTTTCAGGAGCGAAATACCGTCGCCAGTCTCCTTTCATTCCATTTAGTATACGTAAAATCGGCCAGGGACCTGAAAACAACCAAACGACTGAAAAACGAAAAAGGCCCTCGAGACGGCAACTGAGCACGCCTTGCTCTAGGGGTAAACACGTCCGGTGTCGCGCAGTTGCGAGGGAGGCCACTTAAAGTCAAGACCATCGGGTGCTTCTTCAAACGGAAAGGCCGGATACTGTACTGGTAGTTCTTGAAAAAAAAAACAAACACGTGTGGCCAACAATCTGTAGGTGGGAAGCCCGGGCTTTCTGATCATAACTAAGTTATTTGTTCTGGTCACTGCGCCAGAAAATAAACACCGGATCGGCTGAACTAAAGCACGAAACTCACGTTAACTTAAATGCCACACGTCTGTGGTCATAGTCAACGAATGGCTTTGGCGATAATGCACAGAAAATATGCTGAGTCTTTCTTTACCACGCACTCGGGTGGGGGTTAAGGCTTTTCCGAAATAATTTTTTCATGACGCCGCTACGCCGCGCCGAAGTATGCACAGCTGTGGACAACTGAATAGCGGATCGTTTGATATTACAAATTTAGATGTAGCTTGTAAGGTCGCTGACCTACGGCAGGTCAGTTCGGCCATGGACTCAGCGACGAAGAGGTCTGGGGAATCGTACAATCTGATGCAACAACGGAGAGTTAGATGAAGCCTTATGTTAAGGCAGTTTCTTAGGCAGCACAACTGAGTGAACAAATTCCATTGAATTAGGGTCAGGTATGAATGTCAGAGTAACGTCAAATCCACCTGTTTTATTACTCTAGAGGTTGCTTTGTACGGTTCATTCTGGCACTCATTCTGCATTAATTCATAACGGGAACCGCATTACAAATGTTTCATGAGCTTCTTACAGTTCAGCCTAGGTCACTGACCTAAATTACCCAGGTCAACATTTTGTTTTTAGGAATATACTGTTTGGTATCGTCTTTGACGCTTACTGAAATGCAAAAATCAAAGCAGCCTTGTATGCTTTTGGTGGTCATGATACTTGAAAGGTCAAACAAGGGTCACTGAACTTGAATGGGCACCAGTGACCTTTCGCTTAGAACAGTTACCTAGGTTCACGGTGGTTGCATCAGATGGTCTGGAGGCACTCGGGACAACCAATCTGAAACTTGACCCTGTTTAACCTTATAAGAAGGTCATACCTTGGGAACCCCAAATTTTGACACAAAAGAGTTCACGTACAGGCCTAGCTCACCCCGTGAGTTTGGAATCTTTAGCTCTCTAGTTTCTGACATTTAAGGAGGGGGTAAAACTGAACCCCACCCACCCATGTGAAGGGTATTCAACCGGCCCCCCGGGCGCGTGTTAATATGGGCACTGCATACTGAGCCGTTTGGCAAGGCGCATACGCGGTTCTTTGGCCGCGCGGGCTTTTTGTTCCAAAACTCCATCCTCAAACAAAACAACCCCACTTCTGGATCAGGACAGGGGTCGATGGTGAGATGCTGAAGTGTTTTTCTCCACCCACGCCCGACCCGGGTAGCGACGTCAGGCAAACAACCTTCCGGCCTGTCAGGTAAATAGACGCCCGTCCATCCGTTGACGTGTTGAAAGCAAGTCCGTAGTTTTCCGACCATCACAACCGAACATCATCGCAGGCTTAGTGATATGTTTGAAATCATTACGGGGGGGGGGGGGAGCTCGTGCAGTCACTATAGCTTACAGATAAAGGTAACATAAATATAAGTTACCCGTAAAAATGGTGCATGACCCAAAACAACATAAACTTAACTCTTTTTTCTCTGGATTTTAGCAAGTCCCCAAATTTCGTATGGAGCAGATTGGAGAGGATCAAGAGTAACAAAGTAGTGCACCTTATGATGCAATGACACTATACTCTTCCCCCCTCACCTCCCCCTCTCCTTGGAGCAAGGGAGGATCTCTAGATCCGAGGGTCTGACCCGAGTTATTTTTGGAATCGGAAGGCAACCGCATGGCGCCCAATGGGATACCCCGGATCTCCGTCACAATGGGGGAGCAAAACGGCCTGAAGGGCACTCCTTGTGGTTCGCAACGTTTTAGTTTGAGGTTTGAGTCGTTTTTAAGGCCGGAAAGACCCACTACGATGTCTTGATGACCTGATTTGTTAACCCGGCAGCTGTTGTGCCCAATACAGGCGCTCTCCGGACAGCTTGCACTGCCCAATAGTGCTGAACTTCGATCCCAGGGAACTCATCAACGATCAAGAGGGTTTTGAGGCCTCCAGCAAAGCCCATGCAGACTTCACAACCCAAGAAAGTGGTTATCCTATATTCTATTCGCACCCCCTGGATGCCTCTGGTGGTGCAGCTAATACCGTGCCTTGGCCGATTGCAATTACGTTTTTATTATTCTATGCCCGCTTCCGCCTGCTAATGCTCACGAATTGCAGTGTAACGTGCATCTGTACGACACATTCAACGGGTCGCGCCGGGCACATGTCGCTGACCTTGCTGACAAGATCGCCCTGTAAGTCAGCAGCCGCCGGGATCTGGTGCTGGCTGAGGAGGGCGCCGAGGGGGCGGCTGCGGGCCGGTCAGGGCCAGCGGCGGCTCCGACCGGCACCCGTCACCGCGGCTACGCTCTCCTCCCCGGCGCCCAGAAGCCGTACCTTATCCGACACATCGGGCCGGCGACCAACGCGCAGCGACTGCCGGGCTGCTCGGCGCGAGCACAGGTCGCAGCGGCGCTGACGCCGCCACTGCGGCGCTTATGGCGCGCTGGGGCTTCGTATGCATATGCGCTGCCACTGGGGCATGGCACAACCTGCAGCTGAACCTATACAGCGTACCCCGCACCTCATGCTTCCAGGAAGGGCGGACACCGCAGGGAGTCGAACCCCGCACCTTTGCTTTTCCTGACACCAGCTTAACCACTGTGGTACCAGAATCCCTCTCGCCCACGTGGGCGTAGATTTGTCTTAAACAAATATAAGGCCACGACTTTATTAGCTCAAGGCATGCCGCTGCTGTCTCAAAAGCAGTCGCGTGTTCAGCCCAGGGCATAACTACTTCACGTCGCCGGTACATCACCTGGATGCTGCAGCTCGCGCAACGAACTCACATGTACTCAGCCAACGTCGCATGCCCGTACGCCCTGCTGGCGACGAGTCTTCTCCAGACCTTGAGCAAAGAACGGTACCGAGGCGGATGCTCAACCACGGCCGAATATATACACAGAACACGTGACCTCGAACTCCCGCCGATTGCAGAGTGCAGAGGAGGCCGGGGGGGGGGGGGGCAGTCTGGACCTGCCGCCGGGTACGAAGGTCGGTGCGTGGTTTACGCCACTGTGTGGACCGAGATCCCAAGAGGACAGAATATGCCAGGCGCACCAAAAATAAAGAAACGCTTTTGAATCCGCACAAATTGGCTTACAATCAGTACAGATGAGCAACAGACCTACCCAATGGACAATAAAAAATATTGGCGTTACGTGAACACGAATACACGCCCATCCACCGAAAATGGACGAACACTATCAGTGGTCATGATCATAAATATTCCAATATATATATATATATATATATATATATATATATATATATATATATACATAATGTGTGCGTGTGTATGGAATCGTGACAGCTTTGCGAAACCGTTGGGTGTCATAATTAGGAGAAAACATGAAACATATTCTAACCTACGGGAAGCACCGGCAGTTCAGAGCGCCTCCAGCTCACATCCGCAGCGTGAAGAGGCGCGCCAAACACGTGCCGTCATAACTGATGTGTTCCTCGGCTAATGCCGCCTGTTTCATTTACGCGCGCCCAGCGTGATCACGCGACCAACACATCGATTCACCGTAACGATCCATCCATATATCCTTTCCTCAATCGATCAATTACAGCATGTGTCTCATCAGACACAACACGCGCGCACGAACACCCGACACACCCGCCCCCGTGACCCTGCTCCATCGTAGGCAGCGTGCGCCCTCCTCGCCTTTGATCGACACCAGACCATATATAACCGAGATGCTTGAATTAGGTGCGTGCCAGCCTCTCTTGGCGTTTGCGTGCCAGCCACCATAGGCCTCCATACACAGTAAGAGAATATATATCGGAGGTGCCGGACGTCGAGATACCCGAGCCTGCAAACCGACCACAATGCCAGCCAGGCGGTCATTGCAAAGCGAAAGAACGCCTCGGCGTGGTGGTGCAGGGGCCGGTCAGCATGCGTGCCACGTGGGCCGTGTGGTTACCGTGTAGCGGCAGTTCTCGTTGATAACAACCCGAGAAGCGAAGCTCTCGTTCCAGGCCTCGATGTGGAGCGTGCGCGCCCGCATGTCGAGCGAGTTCTTCTGCCGGAAGTAGATGAAGTCGACGCCCATGATCTGTGAACAAAAAGCGCGGGTGAGAGCGCCGCAGGATCGGGCGGTTCGATCCCGTCCGGTGAAAGTTCCGCGTACTCTACGCCCCACTGACAATGGGCAAGGTCCGGGTCACCGGTGCCGTCAGTGGTAATCCTGCGCAGCGTGCCTATCAGTATACACACGCGTTAGTGACTCACGACCCCAGGTGACCTTCACACCTGTGTACGACGCTCGACACCTGGCTGCCTGCTGCACCACAGCTGTGGGCCGCTTTGAACTACAGATGAATCACTTGCCCATCCCCACTACCTCTCGGCACCCAAACAATCCTGCGTCGCGGGAAAGACTGGCGTGATGGTGTGCGGGACGGGCGGACAGCGGCGGGCGGGACGGTGCTTAGAGCGGTCAGGTTCGCACCGGCGGCAGCGGCAGCTGCCTCTCCAGCCATGGGACCATCCCCTGCTCCCCATCATCCGCTCCCCGCCGCACGAGCACACGGCCGCCCGCTGGCTTCCACCGGCAGTGGCAGGTCCGAATGCCGTCGTATCGCACGCGCCTTCCGCTGCGGTCAGACTGCGCTGCGCTGTGGTCAGACTGCGTGCAGGCCTCGTCCGAGCCGTGAGCCACGCGTCGGCGCCGGCTGCTCGGGAACAGTGTGTCCGGCTAGCGACAATACGGTACGGACAATACGGACGGGGAGGGGGGACAGGACACAAGGCAGGCGATACTGTTGAAGCTTTAGCCACGCTCTAACATCAAATTTGGCACACGGTCACCCTCCATCCACGGTATATAGTGCAGTGGACTGGCGTTCTAACCTGGAGAGACTTTGCACGTTTGCGTTTTGAGATCTCCAGGAATAGATTATCTCTCTCCTGCTGCACGCCATCGAGTGGATCTGGCTCAGTCAGCCGACGCACGACGTCCGTTACGCCTGCTCAGAGCTTCTCCTCGCACAACAAGCTGTATGTGTATGTGGCTATGCACCAAGGACGCCGAACGCGACAAATCGCACGACTTGAAAATGGGAGCGCAATAAAACAAAACGAACCGCCTGTGATAACAGAAGAAGTCTGTGACGTTCACGGAACCCATACAAGGAGCCCACGAGTTCGGCGTAACACCCAGACCTACGCAAACAAATGATCGGCAGCCAAATGAAAGGTCCAGGCAAGGGATTACCCCTCTTCACCAAGTAGCTACCCGCGTTCCCCGGTCAAAGTCGGGTCAAATCACATCACAGCTACGATACAGCATTACAGGTCATTCCTGCACGAACGAGGGCGGACGGCCGCCCACACGTGACTCCCATTTCTAGTGCTCACCTCAGGTGCACACCGATGACATATTAGCACCGACGAGCAGTGTACACAGCCTCTTAGAGCATGATGACGATAGCCGTGGCAGTGCGACTTAAACGAACTGGTCAACATTTGCATGGGCTCCTGAACTAAGCCAGCCATTTCCAACATGATTCCCTGCAGTTCACACCCATACATTTTTTAAAGAGTTAAAACCCTCTTTTGTCTCAGCTTGACACACGCGAACTTGTGCTGCCTACTTCGCGCCACCCTCCACAGTCAAACTTGGGTCAAATGGACTCTCCAGTCAATGCTGGATCCTCTACTGGTTAGAAACAGCCCACTACAGGTCAAAATGGGCCTCTATGGTGCAGAATATGAACCTCGTTACGCCAGAATTGGCGTAATGTTCCATGACGCTATCAAGCAATTATGTATTAAGGGGCACATTTACTAAATTCCCATTAAAGGGAATATTTCCCATCTGGAGATATTGCGGCAGACATCAGGCATGATAGACTAAGCACACTATTTAGTAGCTATTTATTTAGTAGCTATTGGCGTGCTTTTAAAGGGAATGCTCCACATTTGTATCAGGTTTTGGAAAGAAAATGTCATCTTGAGGATTACTTGGTGCCATCTACAGCCAGGCCCGTCTTAAGACCTAGACCCCTCTAGCTTCTAAGCTACACGCCAGCGAATATGTGCTGACACTTTCGAGGAGACTACTTTAACGTCACCCAGGTATCAGTGATGCAATAATATCATTCAAATCCTGCCATTCCATTAGCCATACGGTGATCAATGCCGATACAAATATTATTGTCCAGTCATTCACATCTCACGTTTGTGAGCACAATTTCCTGATGTAACGACCGTCACTTGACTCTCAGTCAATGTGTGCAAGGTATGATGATGTAATCAAACATACCCACTAAACAGAGAAATTGTGTCATCTAGGACAGTCTTTTACACCATATTGTATGCTCTTAAACAACCAAACTTAACAAATTAGAAAAAATGCTTCTCAATGCACCATTGTGCCCCTGCATCAAGGAATAATTGTATGACACAAACATGATTGCCAAACTGACCATGTGAAACTGCCACCATAGCTGACAGGCTCATTCACTTGGAGCAATCTTAACTTGAGAGGTGTTGTGTTAATCAATGTGCTGTTTGTAGAACAAAACTATCCTCATGTACACATCTTTTGGCCCTTTCTTGTGGTGTTGCATATTTGTCCATGATTTTAAGTCACTTACTCACATTCATACTTGATTGACACTTTTCCTAAGTTATTCAATCCCTAGTATAATTTTCATAACAGACACCACCACCCAAATTCCTGTTTGAATATTGCACTGAGAGCAACACATTGGTTGACACCCAAATGAAGTCTGTTGATGCCAGCAATCATGTTGGCATACACCAGCCACAAATCACTTGAATGCTGTATGTCTATTGGGGACATGAATAGATTGAAGATAATATTTTCCTGACCTTGAACACTTTGTGGCCAAAGATGGGGGATGCACATTACATTTCTACAGGCAGGCCTGGGTGACCTTGAAGAAGTCTGGCTCAGAAGCCCGAGGGTTTGAAGCTTCAAAAAATGAAGGGCTGTGAACTGCTCTGAATGTTCTTCAAACTAGCTACCTTGTTTCAAAACCCATACAAATGTGACACACTTTCTTTCAAGGCATACCAATGGATACAAGCTGGCCTTTTCCATCCTATATGGTGCTTACCTCAATACATTCAAATATGGAGCAACCCCAGCAGGCCCAACCATTTTTTCATGAGATTTGTTTGGTTCATCATAATTTTTTAGATTGTTAGTAAGATTAGGTTGACAAAGATTAAAGCTAAAATTTTAAGAGGCCTCAGTCTGATAAGCAAAGCACACAAAGCACACAAAACACCAAGCACTTCAAAAAAAGAAACAGGCTCTGAATATTTTATGTGTACTATGTGCAACTGTATCTGAGAGTGAATCACTAAAAATGGGTTGTATATAGTATTTCCAAGAGTACACTCACCCAGTTTTGGCACTATGGTATCAGTCCTCTGCTGACCACCTTAATGTGTGACAGATGGTACAGCCCTTGCAAGCATCAATCACATCCTGCAGTGACAATATCTTTAGGCTGCAGTTTTTGAACAATCCTTCCCACCTTTTCGAGCAGGTATGGTACATCCACATGCAGGTGGCACTTGTGCTCCACCATATGTACAGCCCCATCGAGTCAATTTTTGGACAGTATTTCCCACCTTTTTGAGCAGGTATGGTGCATCCACATGCAGGCGGCACTTGCGCTCCACCACATGTACGGCCCCATCATCACTCTTCTCATCAGTGAGTATCTCAGTGCCAGCCAGAATTGGAATCATATCACAGGAAGGGAAGCGCAGCTCATAGGCCTGTAAAGGTGGAGAACCATATTAACCATAACAGCACTTACAGTGTAAGCAAAATGCACACACACTTGACCAGTGGCTGCTCAAAGCACTCATGGTGGCAACACTATTTGCCCTGTAATGTTGACCTTGTTTCATGCTAGCAGCTGGTCTAATCTACCAGCCAGGCCAACAAAAGCATATCAGCAGTTGTCTAATGGCGCATTATCAGCATCACATTACAAATGCAGAACCACTTCAGACACTTGTGGCCACACATTTGAGTACTCACAGCCATCACAAGCTCAAATGGATACTTGTACACCCGTATGGGTGATGTATACTTTTGCACCATATTTGCTTCCAGGCGGTGGTCTGTGGACACCTGATGACCTGAGACACAAAAAAACAGAAATCAGTTTGTCATATATTGCAGCTGTAAAATTGTCAATGAAAAATACATCACACTGGGCTCGTTTGTGCCGAGAAACATTGAGGTATGACAAAACCGATTACAATTCTCTTTCGGTGTCCTTCAATATATAGTTCAGTGATATAGTTACAGTTAAAGCTCAGACTGAAATACAATAATCACAACGCAAACCTCGCCCACCAGAATCTCACCCTCTGCCCACAAGGCGCGGACTGGCCTCCAAGCCAAGGTTACGCCAGGGCTGCATATATTTGTCTCCAAGTCGGGAGGGACTTTTACTGACAAAATATCTCAAGGTAAGCCTGGGAGTTTTAGCTGATTAGGGTTTATCAGCAATGCTGCCAGATTGATGCCGATTCAGAGATAGTTGGCGCTAAACATGAGGGCACGCGGCATGCATAAATGGTGCATTATAGATTAATACGTGCCCGGGTGGCCGGCTAGATATCCTTCTCTCGGGTGTGGGAGGGGGGGGGGGGTGGGTCAATGTGACCCCCTGAGATCTCGGGAAATTGCTTCTTATGTATTATAATTTGTTGGGACATTAGTTCTCTATGCACAAGCATGTGTGATGACCATGGCCCAAATGCTCAACCGGCCTCCAGATTTATGGCATGGATGCACTGCAGTAATTTTCAGTCTAGCTGGAGGAATAACATGTATTTTGCTTTGCCATCAGGGGCCTATATCAGATTGCTATGCATAAGTTATTTTCGGCGAACATGCCTGGGGCAGGAAGGACACCAGGGCAAAATGTACGTCATCAATACAAGCATTCAGTGCTTGATGCACAGCAAGGACGAGGAAACCGAGGGGGGGGGGGAGAGGAGGGGAGACAGCGGGGGCAGCGCGGCTCCTAACTTGAAAGCTGGGGATGCCCCCCCCCCCCCTCCACCCCAATTTGGAGGACATGTGAAGGGCCATTCTGGCATACCTCATTATGGTCCAAGAGTATCAACTTTTGTCATTATTAGGGGGAGGATCAAGCCGAAAGCTGGATAACCTACCCCCTTCCCGCATTTTTCCTCACCGGACTTAGCCCACTTCGTTTTAATGAAAAGCAACATATGATTGTAATTTGTATATGGCTCACATAAACAAATATTTAATTTGAGCCCTACAGTAGTGATGTAGTGGTAGATCCAGAGAACATAGGCACAGCCGCCTCTGATCGGCAAGTAAAGGCGCTCCTTCAGAGGACCGTTAGGGCGCCGAAGGCCTACTTTTATGGCGACCATGGGAAGCGGCACGTACTTTGGTTGTGGAGGAAGTGGATAGGCATAGCCATGAAGGACTTGGGTTATCCTCGTTCTCTAGAGCTTTTCACTGTAGTGTTACAAGCCTTTGCACGTCTTATGGTCGTAGGCGTGTAAAGTTTAATGCATCGTTTATCCGCTCAGCAACCACCATTTTCATATGGTAGTGCGAGCAGCCACGACTTTTTATTACGAGGGACAGAGAGGGTTCTGTTGTTGGTAGACGAAGAGCTATACATGAGAAACATACGTTCGTAAGGGGAAGTTAGCATCCAACTACATTACCGGATCCGGCAACCGGGTTTGGCACGCAAGCCTTCAGACCAAATTATACAAACTAATCTAATGTGTTTTGTCTTTGGACTAGGTTGCAGCGCCCCTGCCCCTGAAAATTGTACTGCTTTATTAAAGTTAAAATCCCCTGCGATATGTGAGCGGCGCGCGAAACTTTTCGTCTCAATTTGGCAACCCACAACAGGTTTTCAGGTGAACTTCTTGCCACAACATCAGCGAGCTACACTTACCGACACTTTTATGGAATTCAGGCTAAAAGCAAATTATTAAATGCCTAAAATGCGCTTTAAAAACAGCAAACGAGGAAATTTTACTCTAACTGTGGTTTGGGAAATGGATGCGATCTTGATAGGATCGACACATTCATACTCAATATTAGCACGCGCTGAAATTGGAGGCCAATTTGATCAGCTCCGAAGGATTTCCAGAATAATTTCCGACCTGCGCGGCGAAGCCGTTCTTAGCTTTGGTATATATAGGTGCGGGTGCACAGCCAGGGATGTGGTTTCCCATTCAGTTGGAGGAGGGGGGGGGGGGGGGGGGCTTCGGCCCCCACCCTCAACTATGTAGCGGAAGTTAGCCCACATTCAGCCCACATTCAGCCCGGCCCAAATTTGGCAGCACAAATGTAGGGAATTCCCTTTACCGGCCAATATCTCCCATAGGATAAGGAAATCATGGACTGGCGAAATGTCACCTGAAAGCTCTCTTTCGGCCAAAGACAACAGCGCACAGAAAAATCACCTACCTTGTCTAGGGGAAAAGCTATAGACGATCCGAAAAATCATGTCTATGGGGCGGCCCCTACGACTTTCTTCAAAATTGCGTTATCGAACCATCGACAGATACGTATCAATCCGGCTGAAGAAACCCTATGGGGCATTGATATTCAGGGGGTCAAAAACCCTTAGAAAACATATATAACGGGGTTTGGCACTTACTTAACGGCAAACATAGGCCGAGTTGCATGTCAAATGAAAGCACGTGGCATCCCAAATGCAGACGTGCAAACCCAAAACCCCTATCCCCTAAAACCCCTATGGGGCATTTATATTCAGGGGGTCAAAAACCCTTAGGAAACATATATAACGGAGTTTGGCACTTACTTAACGGCAAACATAGGCCGAGTTGCATGTCAAATGAAAGCACGTGGCATCCCAAATGCAGACGTGCAAACCCAAAACCCCTATCTTGTCTAGGGGGAAAGTTATAGACAATCTAAAAAATCATGTCTATGAGGCGGCCCCTACGATTTTCTTCAAAATTGCGTCATCGAACCATTGACAGCTACTCATCAATCCGGCTGAAGAAACCCTATGGGGCATTTATATTCAAGGGGCCAAAACCCCTTAGGAAACATATATAACGGAGTTTGGCACTTACTTAACCGCAAACATAGGCCGAGTCGCATATCAAATGAAAACACGCGAGAACCCAAATGCAAACGTAAAATCGAGATTCGCGTATCTGGTCTAGGGGGAAAGTTATAGACGATCGAAAAAATCATGTCTGTGAGGCGGCCCCTACGATTTTCTTCAAACTTGCGTCATCGAACCATCGACTGATACGTATCAATCCGGCTGAAGAAACCCTATGGGGCATTAATGTTCAGGGGGTCAAAACCCCTTAGGAAACATGTATAACGGGGTTTGGCACTCACTTAACGGCAAACATAGGCCGAGTTGCATGTCAAATGAAAGCACGTGGGATTCCAAATGCAGACGTGCAAACCCAAAACCCCTATCTTGTCTAGGGGGAAAGTTATAGACAATCTAAAAAATCATGTCTATGAGGCGGCCCCTACGATTTTCTTCAAAATTGCGTCATCGAACCATTGACCGCTACTTATCAATCCGGCTGAAGAAGCCCTATGGGGCATTTATATTCAAGGGGTCAAAACCCCCTAGGAAACATATATAGCGGAGTTTTGCCCTTACTTAACCGCAAACATAGGCCGAGTCGCATATCAAATGAAAACACGCGAGAACCCAAATGCAAACGCAAAATCGAGATTCGCGTATCTGGTCTAGGGGGAAAGTTATAGACGATCGAAAAAATCATGTCTGTGAGGCGGCCCCTACGATTATATATGTTTCCTAAGGGGTTTTGACCCCCTGAACATCAATGCCCCATAGGGTTTCTTCAGCCGGATTGATAAGTAGCTGCCAATGGTTCGATGACGCAATTTTGAAGAAAATCGTAGGGGCCGCCTCATAGACATGATTTTTTTAGATTGTCTATAACTTTCCCCCTAGACAAGATAGGGGTTTTGGGTTTGCACGTCTGCATTTGGGATGCCACGTGCTTTTATTTGACATGCAACTCGGCCTATGTTTGCCGTTAAGTAAGTGCCAAACCCCGTTATACATGTTTCCCAAGGGGTTTTGATCCCTTGAATATAAATGCCCCATAGGGTTTCTTCAGCCGGATTGATAAGTAGCTGTCAATGGTTCGATGACGCAATTTTGAAGAAAATCGTAGGGGCCGCCTCATAGACATGATTTTTTAGATTGTCTATAACTTTCCCCTAGACAAGATAGGGGTTTTGGGTTTGCACGTCTGCATTTGGGATGCCACGTGCTTTCATTTGACATGCAACTCGGCCTATGTTTGCCGTTAAGTAAGTGCCAAACCCCGTTATACATGTTTCCTAAGGAGTTTTGACCCCCTGAACATCAATGCCCCATAGGGTTTCTTCAGACAGATTGATAAGTAGCAGTCAATGGTTCGATGACGCAATTTTGAAGAAAATCGTAGGGGCCGCCTCAAAGACATGATTTTTTTAGATTGTCTATAACTTTCCCCCTAGACAAGATAGGGGTTTTGGGTTTGCACGTCTGCATTTGGGATGCCACGTGCTTTCATTTGACATGCAACTCGGCCTATGTTTGCCGTTAAGTAAGTGCCAAACCCCGTTATATATGTTTTCTAAGGGTTTTTGACCCCCTGAATATCAATGCCCCATAGGGTTTCTTCAGCCGGATTGATACGTATCTGTCGATGGTTCGATAACGCAATTTTGAAGAAAATCGTAGGGGCCGCCCCATAGACATGATTTTTCGGATCGTCTATAGCTTTTCCCCTAGACAAGGTAGGTGATTTTTCTGTGCGCTGTTGTCTTTGGCCGAAAGAGAGCTTTCAGGTGACATTTCGCCAGTCCATGATTTCCTTATCCTATGGGAGATACTGGCGGTAAAGGGAATTCCCTACATTTGTGCTGCCAAATTTGGGCTGGGCTGAATGTGGGCTGAATGTGGGCTAGCTTCCGCTACATCCCTCAACTTTGGGATAGAAATTGGCAAAATCAGGAGAGAAACCTGTTTGTCGGCATATTTTGGGGATATCTTGGGCCATTTTTCGCTGTTTAGCCCTCGAACTCATTTCGCGAAACTGTACCGCTGCGCACACCTATGTACGACAAGCATGAGATTCTATGGAAAGGTAGACATCCGGCTGCATTAGCGATCAAGTTTTGGCGCGGCTCCGTCGCGCCCAACTTTGCATAGCTGTAGGCAAATGGACAACGGATCTTTAAGTGTAGGAAATTAGATGTACATGGTCAGGTCGCTGACCTACGGCAGTTCAAAGCGAGGCCATGACCGCCAGCAAAAGCACTTGCTGGGAAATCGTTCAATCTCATGCGACCATAGGCGTAGGAACGTTTC